GGAGAACACGGTGGCTGGGATAGCAGGACACTCCAAAACCAAAAACTTAGAGAAGACTTTGCTGGAACGCCGAGTAGGGATTCACAAAACGGTGTCTGATTTGATTCAGTATAACCAACAGAACCTAATGGAAATGGACAACCACGATCATTCCAAAGACCTCAGGCCAAATTCATGTCCAAGCACAAGAACATATGAAACAGAATGGAAAAATAATACCTGAAAGTCACCTTCTCCATTTTACCTCCATGACAGAATATTCCAGAAGGTGAAATCATAACAAAACTTTTATGCAAGTTCAAAGGTAAACCATATATACAAAGAAAGGCAGGTTGTGCGTCGTTGAAGGTCCTGGACTGATAAGGCAAAAACCATTATCAACTTCTCGACTCCATTTAACTATAAAAGTTACCATTTATAGTTGGGCAAGTTCATTTTAAAATGATGGTATGCCCTTTCATTTCCACACACACCCACAAAAATATTCTTTACATTTAGAAAGAAGTAAAAGGCAAATTTTAGCCACGTTTCCTGATATTTGCATATTGTCATCCTACAGATGGCTCCACATGTCTTACATGTGGATACAATGTATCCACTTAATGGCTACGTCATGGCCAGGAGACAACACTTCAATTATAAAAACCACATTCTTCCTACGAATCAGTCCGTATTACATGTATATATGCAAACATGTATACAAAGAATTCATAGATTAGCTACGTGGCATTTTTAAGACAACTGGATTCTCAAATCACCTAACTGTCCAAACGTGACTGTAACAATGAAACATCAAAATTGAGCCCTGCTTGAAAAAAGTCCATCCAGGTTCCCATACAGGACAACACCTAACTGTTTTGGAATAATGAAAGGTGTGGTGAGAAACACTTCCCCAGTTGTCTTTTGGTTTTGGGGGGGTGTCCTTACTCGTTGATCTTTCTGCTCCATTTGGCACCACTTCTTACCTTCCTTTGGGGAACCTATCTGCCTTTGGATCTTCTGCCACACTCTACCTCTTGGCAGCTCTTGGATAACTCTTCCCCTGAATCCAGATTTTCTTCTTCCCCAGAGGAGTGCTCAGTGGTCCTGTGTGGGAGGGTCAGCCACCAATGGGAAGAATTTGGGTATGTGTATTGCCTTCCAACTGTCCCAGTGGCTGTGAAGTGCCACCGGCATTTAATGGGGGTCAGGTGGGGAGGGGCGGAGAGGAGCAAGAAGGCTAATTTTCTGAGCCACACAAGACAGTTCCACGTGACAAAGGTTTGTTTTGCCAAAATGCAAACAGCATCACACCTTTGAGAAACACCGAGCAGGGAAATCAAATTCTTGACCTCTCACTCATTATTTCTGAACCCCTACTCTGAGCCCTTTGCTTCAACGGGGCTCAGGCCTCTCCTCTACACACAAGACGCTCCAGTGCGCTTCTACCACTTGTCCTTTAAAAGCATCACTGCATGTCCCGCCTGCCAATTGCAGCCGGAGATCGCCTGGCGAGCAGGTCAGACTTAGATCCACCCAGAAGCCGGGCAGATGTCTAGTCTGCTTTGCTTCTTTGTCCTTTAGCCCCATGTCCAAATGATTGGGTTCCGCCAGTTCTCTTCCTCTACGATGCCTTTTGGAAATGCTTTACCTCCAGCGCCACAGCTAGCCTCAGCAGATGCCTCTGCTGACCCTCTATTGATCCCGACCAACTTCCCAAAGGAAATCCGTGCCCTTTACCGGCCATCCTATACACTGTTGCTACAATTGTTTCTATGGAACATTCCCCAACATTTCTGAAAATCCACCGTGACGAATCCTGCCTGTTCTCACTGTGACTGTCATCCCACCCCCAAGGGTTCTCACACCTCTTCCCCCATTTCACACTTCATCTTTCCTGTCCCCTTGGTAGCACCCGGTCCCAGCCATGCTTCTCCACCTGACAGCATGTGCGTGCATTTCCCCTTCCTTTCTCAGTACCTGTGTACCCATCACTCATGCTCACCCCACCTCCTTCTCCCTCCCTGCTTCTAGGCTCCAGTGACAGGACCGTGTGGAGCCACACTAGAGTCTGAGAAAAAAAGAAAAAAAAATCTGTAATATCAATCTTGTTCTTCAAAATCCTGACATTTTGTTCATTAGTAATTATTTTGTATTCGTTTTTTTTTTTTTTTTTAAATACTGCATTAAAATATTCTTTATCTTGATTACTGAGTTTCTGGCAGCCCCTCCCATTTTGCATTAGAGGCAAATGCCTCACTCGCCTCACCCTGGGCCCAGCCCTGTTGTGCGGCCCCCTCTCCTCCCACTCTGCTCCTCCTGCAAGGCCTCCGCGATGGAGGCTTTCAGTGCCGGGACCCGCCTGGATCCCATCCTCGGCTGTCTGCCGGCAAGTACACTGTGGGCGTCTGTTGCCATGGGAGAGCGCCTGTCATCTGCAGGTTTGGGGCATTTGGTCCCCCTCTAGGACCAAGGCTCGTGTGCTGTGCTCTTCCCTGCCCTCCACTCAGTGCATGCTCCAGAAAGAGCTTTGAGCCCAGAATACAAGAGCTGGACAGTGATGGGAACCTCAGGTCAGATATCGAGATGCGATAATAGGAATGCTGGCTTAGAGAACGGAAGAGAAACAGACCCAAAGTCTTCTTGTTATTCCACTGCTATTTTTCTTTGACTATTAGTTGTGGATAGGGTAGGTTTCGCTCATCAGGAATCCAGGAGGTCCATACCTAGAGAAGTAAACCGGTGGTGGAAACATCACAGTGTCAGGTTGACTTGGAGGCATGCCTGAGCCCCCCGGGCCTGTCCCAGGGGTCGCTTGCAGAGTATCCCGACCCCACAGACCCTCTCATTCAGACAGCCCACCTCTTCCTCTAGGAACAGGAGTCCGCACAGCTCCGCCCACCTTGGCGTGAAAGTGGGCCGCGATCAGATAACAAGGTTAAGTATTTCTGAGGCATGTGGCAGAATAAATTAGTTTCATCTCGCTAAGAAAGAAGACGTGCCCTATTTGCAGATTAACACAGGTGTGTCCGGAAGCGGGGCTCCAGGCACTGAACCCGCCCCTGGTGACACTGTTTGGCAAATGCATAGGGTCCCATCTTTGGGCGCCAACTCGATGCTCTTGCGCAAGTGCTCCTGGCCGCCCTCCCCTCTGGCACTGACCTGAGTTCTGACGTTCGCAGACCGGGCAGCTGGGAATGTAGGTCAAACCTGCTTACTTTCTCCTCTGCGCCTCCTGCGTCTCCCTACCAAATCCTCGCTCGCTCCCTTCCAGCTGCTTCCTCACCTTTCCCACTGAACCCCTTCCACGTTCCCAGAGAGGCCTGATGGGCCCCAGCAGCGCCAGAGCGAAAGCCGAGTCAACCTGACGGCAGTGAATTCTTCCTCCGTGTATCCACCTTTCCAAAGAGTGTCAAGGAATGATACTTCGTTACACAGAGCAAACACAGAAATTATATATGGGGCTGTTCCAGGCCCTTGTAAACTGCAGTCACTTCTCTAAGATTTGATTATTTTGAACATTAGACAGGCGGCAATAAAAAACCTCTTTCGGGCGCCTGGGTGGCTCAGTTGGTTAAGAGACTGCCTTCGGCTCAGGTCATGATCCTGGAGCCCCTGGATCGAGTCCCGCATTGGGCTCCCTGCTAGGCAGGGAATCTGTTTCCCCCTCTGACCCTCTCCCCTCTCATGCTGTTTCTCTCTCTCTCTCAAGTAAATAAATAAAATCTTTAAAAACAAAACAAAACAAAACCTCTTTCAACTAAAAAGGAGAAAAGAGGATATTAGTGAACATGAATGCTCTATTGCTCTTACATTGGAACCCACTTACCTGCACAGTTCTGATAAAGTTTTTCAAAGGGGGCATTAAATTGTCCCACAAAAAGGAGGCAGGTTCATTGGGAGGTGTAGGCTGCTGGAGACAGGGGCTGTGCTGCAGAGGGGGCTCACTCTGGGTCTCTGTGCTAACACCCTCCCCTCCCAGCACAGCCTCTCCCCGCCAGGTATTAGCTTCCCTGGTCTATTGGCAACCACAGCGCTTCTAATCAAAATTTTGAATCTACTGAACAAGGGTTCTCTTACTTTAAAAACAACTGGTAAGCATTCTTAAACCATCAATATTTGAAAAGCCAAGAAGAAAGACATTTGAAAATTATTACATATCTGTCCAAACAATGTTTTATGTTTTCTGACCTCTAAACGATGCGATTAAAAAAAAAAAATTTTTTTCCACGATGGTTAGCAGTTTGGCTAGCTCAGATGTTAAAACAAAACATATGGAATGTGGTTTTCTTTGTTTTGTTTTTTTGGGGGGTTTTATGTTTATTTTTTATTTAAATTCAATTAATTAACATATAGCGTATTATTAGTTTCAGAGGTAGAGGTCAGTGATTCATCAGTCTCATCTAACACCCAGTGCTCATTACATCACATGCCCTCCTTAAAGTCCTGGAATGTGTTTTATGGAAACACAAATAACATGTATACCCCCCAAAAAAGGAAGGAGGAGCATACGACCCCAGGAGATTACAAAAGAGTTTCGAGTTTTCGGAAACATCGAAGAATAATGTAAGAGAGTGTATCAGTTTCTTGTGGCTGCTATATAACAAATCACCACCAATTTGGTGGCTGAAAACCACAGAAATGTAACCCCTCACAATTGCGGAGGTCAGAAGTCCAAACTCAGAATCAGGAAACTGAAATCCAGGTGGGCAGCTGTGCTCGCTCTGGAGGCTGTACGGGAGAAGCCAATCCCTTGCCTCGTCCAATTTGGGGTGACTGTGGCCCTCCATTGTCTAAGGCCACATCACTCCAATCTCTGCCAGGTCACATTGCCTCTCCCTCTTCCATTTGTGTCAAATCCCCCTCTGCTCCGTCTTATAAGGACACGTGATTCTATGTAGGATGAGGTCCTCATCTTAAGATCCTCAAATTCATCCCATTTAGAAAGTCCCTTTCCCCATATAAAGTAAAGTTTAGATTCCATGGCTGAGGACCTGATATTTTTGTGGGCCTCTATTCAGCTGGCTACAGGAGGTGGAAGCCCAGTGCGAGCTTGCGAAAACACCAAGGAAGACAGCAATGGCTCATCGGGCCACATTCAGAGAGAGATGAAGAACAAAGAAAGACTGGGCCTATTTATCCTTTTTCATATCGCTTCTAGTTTTTCCAAAAGGGAGAATGGTCTTCACATTGAAAATGGCTGAACACATCACCAGATGAACACCAAGCTGAGTGAGGAATTACTAAATGTGTGTTGAGTCATTTCGGGTGAATTCAGACCCACAGGTCAGGGTCTAGAAGCAGTGGTCCCGGTGGGCTCAGGATTCTGCTGCCAAGAAACTTCTTGCATTGCCTGATTTCTCATTATTCAGGTGGTGGCTTCAATGTCAGTTCTTCAAAGGGTGGTCCCTGACCACCCTAAGGATTTGTCCATCCCCCCACTGGCCTGTGAACTCTACAGGACAGAGATTATTTCCTCTCTCGTCCCCAGTGTATACCCAGCACCTGGCATAGTCCTCGGTACATAGGAAATGCTCCATCACTACTTGTTAAGTGAATAGCTAACATTTTTGAGCACTTTGTATGTGACAAGCACTCTTCTGAGTGCTTTATATGTGTTAAGTCACTTAGGGAGGAAGCGACAAAGGGAGGAAGGAAAAAGGGAGGATAAGAAAAGAGAAGATAGACTGACAGATGTCTCCATTTTCAAAATCAATCTTCCAAGAAATGGAAGAACTAAAAATTGGGAAGCCCGACGTTTATCCCCAAAACAAATCCAGAGTGAATTCTTAAACAGAGACGTTGTGAACACAAGCATAGAATGAATCTATAAAAAGGCCTGAATTTAGGTTTTCCCAAATCTGTTGCACAAGTACAGGGTGTATAGAAATATATGTGAAACCAAATAAAAATGAAAACCTGAAACACTTAGCCTGCTGCAATCTTTTTTTTTTTTTTTAAGATTTATTTATTCATTTGAGAGAGAGAGCATGGGGTGGGACAGAGGGAGAGAATCTTAAGCAGACTCCCCACTGAGCATGGAGCCCGACACGGGGCTTGATCCCCCTACCCTGAGATCATGACCTGAGTGAAAATCAAGAGTCCGACGCTCAACCGACTGAGCCACCCAGGCGCCCCAAGCAATCTTGGTATACAAGTTAGTGTTATGCTCCAGCCAAAAGGGAGTGTGGGGATAACAGAGTTATGGGCAACATGGCAGGGTCTTAGAAAGAACATGAGTCAAGTTGACCTGGTGACTTTGAGCAAGTTACTTAGAATTTCTGAGGTTTTCTTGACTTACCTGTGTATACATGCCTGCAAGAGTTATTATGAAGATTAAAATACAGAAAGAAGGTCCTGGCACATGGTAAGCTTTAAATAAGGTGAGTTCAGCTCTTCCTTTCCCTTCCTTTGGTCTTTATTGTACTTTGTACCAGGCCAGTCATGGATGGAACCCTAAATTTCATTCCAGTCACTACATTTTAAGGAACACAAAGACGAACAACAAATACAGCTGGAGGAAAGATACCAGATTGGGGAAGCAGTTGGAAACAACATCTTATTATAATAATAGTATCTTGTGTTTCTCTAACATCTTCTAATTTTCAGAAGGTTTGATACCAGAGACAATACTATCAGGTAAGCAGAAAAATATTAAGATGACATTTTATACATGACTCTATAAATGCCTAGAGAGATTAAGGGCCCACCAAACATCACATCACTCATAAATAACCAAGGCAGGGCACAAGTGCAAGTATACTGAGCATTCACCTAGCAATTTCCTTTCTTTTACACTGTGTCCCCTATAAGCAATGGTACAAGGAACTGGGGCATATTCTGGAGATATCTAAGGGAAGACATGATAACTGCCTTAAAATATGTGAAAGATTGTCCTGTGGTAAAGGGACTAGACCACACGCTCAAGTACAGACCAGATCAATGAGTGGAGATCACCACCGTTCAAGCATTGGGTCAACTCCAGGGGGACCTTTGGAGCCATTGAGGTGAGTGACAGTAGACTCAGGTTGACTAGTGAGCTATTCAGGGATGCAAAGCAGTGATGTCTGCCTGGGATATCAGTTGCACTAGATCCAATCCTTTATTCTGTTGTTAAATACATAATTTTTGAGCAAAAAAACCCCCATTCTAGCCATTGTGGGAAATAAAGAGATAATTAAGCCGTTGTCCCCGACCATGTAGATCGCCTCAAATGCCCCCCACAGCTTTAGAAATCATATGAGTGTTCGACATTTTTATTTAAACAGATTTTTAAGACATTTGGGCGACACGATTGGCATCAACAGTGGAGACTTCAACAACTGACAGGGACGCTTATATCCACCTAAATGTTGCTGTATTTTCAATATTGAACGGACCTACGAACAAGCCCGCCTGGCCGCGTGAGCGTCCCGTTCATCTCTCTAAACTAGCACCAACAACATGACAGGGTGGTGGTGGCTTTGTCTTTCCACACCCTCCTTCTAAGGGACTCATCCCACTGATTCTCGGACAATCTCGGAAGCCAGCTGCAGTTGGTACGGAGGGCAGGTCACCTTCACTCTCCACCCCTCTGAAAGGGAAAAACTGTAACCATGTGCTATTCTAAAGCATTTCAATATTTGCATTTCTAATTCCTATAAATGCTATAAATTATAAGCATTTATTTTATGAAACTTGGAAAGATCGCTATTTGTCTCAAATTATACCAGTTACGCCGGCATCACACACCAGAACGCAGAATTATGGAACATATGAGACAGAAACCTGACACTCAGTTTCCTGCGATGTGTTAAGCAGAGAGGAAAAAAAATTGTACTGCTGTCTAAAAAGCTGGATAATCAGTCTGAAACCTCAAATTATAAGATTAAATCAATAAAGAAAACAATTGAAAAGGTACATTCAAATCAGAACCTCTGAAGAGAGTCCAAGGGACAAATTGGAGAGCTGAATAATGAGATAAAAGCCAACACTTTCTTAAACCACTACGGAATTTATAATCTGGATTAAATATGGATTTTGCTCAAATCCATAACTCATGTATATTTTTCTTAAAATAGCACACTGAAGTGCATTTGGGGTGTTAGGAAATTGTTGCTTCTGAAAAAAAAAAAAAAAACCAGACTACCATGCTTAATGGCACATAGAGAATAATATTTTCTATGATTGAAAAAAAAAAACCATGATTATATTTTCCAGTAAATTAGTTTAAAAAGCTAGATCTACTGGTTCACAAGCAATTTCTAGCCCCCCAGACTTTTCCAGGCCTTCCCATATTTATTAGTGTCAAAAGAATGATGCATCTAGCAGCAGTAAGTATACAGAGCCTTAAGAAATCACCAGAGAACAGTTTAATGGATCAAAGTTCCAAATTGTATTAAAATTCTTGCTGATTGATTTATCTCGGACATGATCTCTGAAACCCCTACTCCCCTCCCAAAGGACCCAAACCTATGATGTTCACTAATCAGATTGTTCATTGCAGCGGACAGCTAACACCTTCCACAGACATGCGTTGAGTAGATCTCAAATTCCTGCTCCAGCTGCTGCATGCCTGGGTATTTTGTTCTTTGATCAATGATTAATTACTTTAAGAAGTAAAAATTAAAAGCCTTCATTGTTTCAAAAAGCTATTATTTTATTTCTGAAGCTCTCTGGAGAGAGGCATGCCATAGATTTAAGGGCTGATCAACGATCAAAAAATTTCCTTCCCCCACAGCAGCAAAGAAGAGGGGGGGATTTTTTTTCCTCTCTTTTCAGTGACTTTAGAGGATTGACTCTTGTACCTCCAGACTAGGAAAGAAACTGGTCAAATTGTATTTAATTAACCAATATCAAATCAGGATAAAATCCTCCTGCTTGATTCACACCCTACCTTTGGCAATGACCCGTTTCTTGTCTAAACTGTCACTTTAAAGTTCAGGATAATGGGATCTTATCCAGGATAATGGGATCTCAGGCTTCTCTTATTGGAGCCTCCATACATTTGGCTCCCATGATCTCAAATGACTTGTTACTAAAGGAACATAATGCGAGGACACTATTTAGAATTGTAGAATGATTACAGAATCCTATCGCAAAAGAGGTCCAGACCCATCGTTCTCAATCTTGTCCACTTTTGCCCAAAGGAAAATCCATCCCATGGTTTAAAAGGCTAGGGAAACAGATTCTGTCCTTTTCCTTCGAGTCACATTCCTGCATCTCCCAACTTTCTACTATGGAAAAATGTCTTACATATTTAACCTAAACTCTTCATATTTCAGTTAATACCCATTGATTCCATTTAAGAATGGCATGGTCCCATTCTTTGTGTGAGACCATTATGCCCAAAGACTAGAATGAACAATCCTGCAGCTTTCAGTGGGATATTTCCCCCAAAGTCCTGCTCAAGTGTTCTCACTAGGAATGATATTCTTCAAAAGTCTATACTCCATGGTTAATGACTTTAAGAAATCTAAACTACATATTTTCAGGGTAAGCATGTTTTAGATGTCAGGCCTTGGTGTCTACTCTGACCGTGATCTTATTAGCTGTATGATCTTGGGCAAATTGCTTACTGAGTGGGACTAACACCTTCTACAGAAGTTTGGTGAGAAAAGACAGGGAAATAAAGCACAGAAAGTGCTTAGCACACTGCCTAAGTCCTCAATAAATAGTACTCAGAATCACTTCAATAATTTATAAGCTTATCAAATCTATAGATTTAGATGGTGGGTTGTAATAAGTGTATAGAATTACCATGGGCTGGAACATTAGCCTTTTTATGTAAGTTCAAAACTGAATGAGGGGCACCTGGGTGGTCAGTCGGTTAAGCATCTGCCTTCGGCTCAGGTCGTGATCTCGGGGTCCTGGGATCGAGCCCCTCCTTCGGCTTTCTGCTCAGTGGGGAGTCTGCTTCTCCCTCTCCCTCTGAACCTCCCCCCTGCTTGTGCCCTCGCTCTCTCTCTATCGCTCAAATGAATAAACAAAAAATCTTTTTAAAAAACCCTGAATGATACCCAGGTTGAGATTTAATATTGGTTCACATCCAGTGATTCTAAATCACTCCCTAATGGCACCATAATAACATGATCAGCGTCAGAAGTGCCTTAGTACCTTGGAGAGTTTTGGGAGAACAGAGGGTACAGGACTTCAGAGCCTGCTACCCAGGATGAACCACACTCTCAGGTGGGTTCAGGCTCTCCAGGCTGGTCCAGTGCTTTGCAGGTGCCTGTTACCTTTCCTGAAAAATGCTAACATGTTCTTTAACCCATTTAGGGAAGGGTAAGATGAGAGAGAAGGGAAACTGAGGGAGTGTGGTCACAATGAGATGATGTCCAGGAAGAAGATGAGACTGACTGTCGCAAGCAGCCTGATTTTGAGTTGGGTCCTGTTGGGGGTGCTGGTGTGAAATGTGGGCTGACCAGGGAACGGAAGAAGGGAGAGCCTCAAAAACACAGTCACAGGCATCATTTGGGTTGGAGAAAGCTTGGCTTATACCACATCTCAGAGCGGGCTTGATGGTGTGCTAATGTGTGCTGAGCTAGGAAAGAGCAAAACACTGGCAAAATTACACTTCTGCTTCCCAAAGCATCAACTATCAAATGATATTTTTTAAAGACTCTCTAGGCTACTACATATAATCAGGCACGATACTTCTAGTGTACTAGGAAAGCACTGTACTTCCCCACATTGTCCTTATAGTTTCCAAGCTTGGGGTTAGTAATGGAGTCTGTCCCCAACACAGGGACCACGGACCTTGCTCATATCTGCACAAATGCAGCTAAGAGCAATCAATTATGCTTGTCTAGTTCTGAATCCTCTGTGGTTTTTTGAGTGTTTCTGAAATGCACCCCGATGATGAAAATCTTCTCAGTGCTAAGTACTTAACGAGAATTTATTGAGAAAAGAGGAAAGGAAGGTTTCCTAATTTTATTTTTTAAAATAGTGTATGTATGTGTGTATATGGATAGATAGCCAATGATTAATAGATAGGTGAAGAAAGAAAGAAAGAAAGAAAGAAAGAAAGAAAGAAAGAAAGAAAGAAAGAAAGAAAGAAAGAAAGAAGAAAGAAAGAAGAAAGAAAGAAAGAAAGAAAGAAAGAAAGAAAGAAAGAAAGAAAGAAAGAGAAAGAAAGAAGAAAAAAAGAAAGAAGAAAGAATGAATAGTGGGTTGATCTAATGTAGCTACAGAATCAGAAAGAAAATTTTTCTTTTAAAAAGTGATTTATCAGGGCACTTGGGTGGCTCAGTTGGTTGTCTGCCTTCAGCTCAGGTCGTGATCTCAGGGTCCTGGGATCGAGCCCTGCATTGGGCTCCCTGTTCAGTGGGGAGTCTGCTTCTCGCTCTGCCTCTGCCCCCCACTTGGGCACGCCCTCTCTGTCTCTCAAATAAATAAATAAAATCTTTTTTAAAAAAGGGATTTATCAAAATAAGCTTTATAGTAGTCACCAATAAAGTAGACAAAATTACAAGGTTGACCATTTTTAAAATCTATGGTATCTCACTCTACAGACATTGCCCAAAAAAGGAATTTTGGTTTTAAACTTTCAAAAATTCCATTTCCAAAGGTAAATCGTACTTTAAATGATTATGAGATGTTCTTCCTATAGAAGCCTTGGCAAAGGGTACAAAATTTCTGTGGTTTGAAGGTGAAACAGCAAAAGAATAGAAGCCTGGTTTACCTACTCATTGGGCATTAAATCCTAGTTTTGACATAAGTCTCTTTTTGATGTTTTAGGGCCTCATTTCCTAGACTCAAGAAGTGTTAGAGCTGGAAGGACCTTGGATGCTCCCTGGTCCCATTTTCTAGTTTTACCCTGGAGACCTAAGACCCTCAGAGAAGTAGGTAACTTGTCCAAGATCCCCTAGTTAGTAATTAGCAGAGCCAGCCTAGAGGGAGTTCTCTTGAGTCCCAGTTCAATGCTTTTTCAACAACAACATGCATCTTCTCTTGACAGAAACAGACCTGCATCAGAAGTCTCCTGAGAGATGCCATGCGTTGTTTTTTTTTTTTTTTTTTAAGTGTGATGTGTTTTTAATTCTACTTTGAGAAAAACGCTGCCAAAGTGTTCTCTAGGGAGTAGAGCCTCTATAAGGAGAGGAGGGCTTTCATGCTTGGAGATAGCAATGAATAATCATCCATTTAACACCTAGACTGCATCCCAAAGGCCACAACCGCCCTGGGGAAGATGATCAGATGGAGAGCTCTGAATTGGGTTTGGGAGAAAGAGACCCAGGGAAAAGTTGAGTAGCTTAGCAGCCAATAGATGTTGGAGAAGAATTGAAAAGTGAGCAAGACTGGAGAATGAAAGAGCTATAGGTAGGTGAAGAGAAGCTCAGATCATTCTAGCTCATGTAAACATAACTATATCTTTATATATCTATAAACGAGCTGTTCTTTATATTCATTGAGAGCCCCTTAAAGGACTAAGTAGATACCTTTTGGTTCTCCTAGGGGGGCAGGAATGCAGCATTTTATTATGTGTGTGTGTGTGTTTCATCCATTAAACCCTTGGGGAGTAAGGGAGAGTGTGGGAGAATAAAAGTCCAGATGAGGTCAAACAAATGAAAAGCACCAAGAGATGGATAGAACTGAAACATAGTGGCCAGGCGAGACAAGCACCAAGACAAACTGGAGATCAGTTTCCTGCAGACAGATAAATTCTGAGGATTCCCCCCTGCCAACCTTTGTTTGAGAATAATCACAAGTCAGTTTCCTTTGTTTTACCAAAAAGGTAGCTTTCACTTAACCTAAGCCTACCGAATAAGTCTAGGTATTCTACTTGGAGCGCACCAAAGTTCCAGATCAGATCTTTTAAAATTAAGTTTATTTTTCCAAAAGTATGAGATATTAAAATATGTAGCATATTTCTTCCCCAGTAGCAGTTGCTGAATAGATGCTGGTTTAGGAGCTGTCCACTGGTTTGCTAAGGGACTGAAGATAGTAGCAGGTCTATAATAGCAAGTTACTGGCC